AGTTGTGGCCCAGCGTTTGTCTGTATTCACCAGTCTCCTTCCCATCAGGTGGATAATAATGAATGCAGTTCGGGGTAGTTAAATAGCTAGAAATATCTTCTGCAGATATGAATTTTAATCAGGGCTCTGTAATAAGCATGAGATGAAAACTGAAATGAAGATGATGATTCCCAAATAGAGCTTCATTAACAATTTAAACTACCCAGGGCTTGATGAAAGAGCCAAGGATTTAGCTGTGAGATTTCAGGTCGCCCAAGAGGGAAATCCAGTGACTTCAAACACCCTTTTTACACAAAGTGCCAGGGTTTCAAATGAGATTTTTAAATGAATAAAGCCAGAAAAACCTTGCTGGTTAATTGGGTTTCTTCGTTTGTTTAAATGTGGCTTGGAGTCTGCTGAGGAAGCGTCCAGCCCCATCACAGCAAACTAGTATCACACTCACCTGCCCGCACTCTGCACCCCGCAGTCTCGGGTTCAATCACAGAGAAGTGGGGCTGGCAGGGACCTCCAGGGCTCATCTAGTCCAACCCTTGCCACCCTGAGGCAGCTTTCATCTTGGAAGCCTTCCATGGCACCAGCCTGAAGCAGGGGCTCCCTCGCCTCGCTGGTCATGGCCTCTCATGGCACGCAGCTTTTGTGTGCACGCCTCGTCGAGTGGCAGTAGGTTGCACACGTGTGTATGCAGAGCACAGCCCACTGTGCCACGTATGGCTGTCTGTGAGCAGCGCACGGTTCGCAGAGGTCTGGCTGGCCCTTGCAGACAGGGCCGTACGGCGAGGCTGTAACGTGCTGCCATTGCTCGCTCCCTTCTGCAGCTGCATCTGCTGCTGTCTGTCCGTGCGCCAGGAGGCTCATCGCCCTGCATGGACTAGGTGCTGATCCAGACTCGGCAGAGTCTGCGTCCACTCGGTTTTCTCCCAGACACGTATGATCTTGCTCCACATGCCCAAATTTTCTTTTCACTCTGAAATCAGATTCTCCCTGGTTTCTTCGTGTTCTCTCTTTCTTTCTTGCTGTTGCTCAGTAATGCAGCCCTTCTTGGGTGCAGCATAGCGCGAGACTTTTACTCAACTCTTCCTTCCATTTCCCGCAGTCCTTAGTCTCCTGAAATTTGCAGTCTAGCCCTCTTTGTTGGCTGGCTCTAAGAGGGAACCTCTTGGGCCATGGCTAAGACTGACCCAGTCCTGGAAATGGGCCCTGTGGGACTGTGTCCTGACAGTGGTGAGCCATGCTGTCTTGCTTTCTCTACTCAGCTCTGTAGGTTGGTTGTCTTTTTTGGTCTGAGGATGGTCCAGGAGGGATTCCCACGTGCCATCCCAACAACAGAAATGGTAGCAGTAAGGACGACAGATGTGATTGCACTGACTATAGTCACCTATCATCCCCTTCCCTGGTGCTGTCGCCAGATCATTTCTATTGTCTATATAGTTCATAAACTGCGACAAACACAATAATAAATCATAATGAATTGTTCTCAACCAGGGTGATGTTGCACCCCAGGGTGCCCTATGGTCCTTTTAGGGGTGCCATAGGCTACCACATAATTTTAGTCCTGTTAGGTGTGCAAATACCCACACCCAATTCACAAGATAAGCTCCAGAGTCTTCAAATAGGGATCCATAGTGTCAACCACGCTGTGACTCGTTACGGTCTCTGAGGTCTCTGTAACAGAAGAGTTGCTTTAGATCAGTGGTTTCAACCTTTTTTTACTTGCAGAGCCCTTGGAAATTTCCAATGGAAGTGCAGGCCCCTCTGAACGGTACGTGTGCGGCTTCACATACTTTTGATTAATCATTCTCATCTCTCATGGACCCCTTAGACATAGTCTGCAGACCCCCAGGGGTCCGCGCACCACAGGTTGGAAACCACTGCTCTAGTTGTTTTCTGCAGCGAAGGCTCAGAGCTGGCATTTCCCAGGGACCTTGAGTCTAATGAGGTTGAGACCCCTGCCGTAAGGAATACTTGCCATTGGGGTTGCAAAGCAGCTGTGTCCGGCTCCCCGGGTCTTCTGTGCATCACAGCACGGGCCATTCGGGGCCAGGCGTGACCTGTGCCCTGTGCTGAAGACGACGTGGCTGGGTCCTGGCGTGGGTGTGTGGGTGGGGGGGCACCGCCGGACCTGAGCAGCGAGCTTTGCTCCGGAGGCTTCACTGCCCTCTCAGCAAGGGCGCTTGGCGGGAGTGACGCTGCAGCTGGGGCTGGACTCTCTTTCCTGCCTTGTGCTCCAACTCCTTCCATAAATCTGAAGATGCCACCCTCCTTCGCAGGCTGGCCCCTGGCCGGGGAGCTGCGACGCCCCGCCTGTAATCCCGAAACGAGATGCATCGGCCGAACGAGCTGGGCTCTGCACCAGGCCCATAAATCATCTACGAGGCAGGCCCAAGCCCTGATTTATTCTCCCCACGCTTTGTGCTGCGAGGCCTCTTCTCCGGTGACCCACGTCTCCAGGCAGGCCCGTGGCTTTCTGTGGAGATGGGGGAGGCCATGGGCCCTTCTTCTAGTTCAGGCAGTGAAGATTTGGCAGACGGCACCATCTTCCTCCCTTGGTCTCTCATCAGAGACCAGCTTTTACAGCTGAAGATGCAGCACTTTGCAAACACAGGAGAATTTGGACGGCTTTTAACACATGGCAATGCCTAGCATGGGGCTGCCTCCCCGCTGCCCGGCTCCCTTGGCCTGCCAGCGGGCACGGGATGGGGTGGGAAAGGCTCCATCTCTCCTCTCCAGGTCCCGACTGACCCTCACAGCAAAACCAGGCTCCACAGAATAAAAAGCACCGTGGACGGAGGAGGGTCACACTGGGCACGGGATGCAGAGCTCATGGCCCCCAGCCCACTGGAGAGGGAGTGTGTCTGCCCCCCGGCCTCCTCTTGTTGCGCGGGATGGGGACTCAGCCCGCTCCTGTGCCCACCCCTGCCCTGGCCGCACTTCTGCACCCGGCGAGGTCACCCACGCAGGCCCTGCTCAGAAAGGGTCCATGGAGGGTCCGTGGGGATGGAGGACATTGCTGGCTTTGATTGCTCAGGGTCCTGTGTGTCCTGACACGTATCCCGTGGGCTCCCGCGTGCTAGTGCTGCTCTCCACGCCATAACAATGAATCCTAATGACATTTTATTTTCCTGCAGCCCCTCCTCCTGAGAGATCCCCAAAGCACCTCACTAATTATTCACAAACCCGGATTGCTTTTCTAGCCCGTGAAACAGCCACCGCGCGGGCGGTCTGCGCCAGCAGCGTTGCACAGCGGTGCTGACGCCAGCACTCCCGCCCTCCGCGGGCGATTCCCACAGCCCCGAGGTGCGAGGGTGACTTCACTGACTCACCAGCCCCGTGCGAGGGGGCAGACGGGGCTGGCGCAGCTGCGGTCCAGGCGGGGTGGAGGTTCACACCTATCGCTCCGTCAGCTCTGAGAGGGGCTGAATTTGCTGAAATGTTCACTGGATTTTTTCCCGTCTGCTGGGGCCTATAAATCTGGTGGTGCAGCGGCTATTCCTGCCTCGCTCCCCGCACTCGCAGGGCTGCTGTTTTTCTTGGAGGGCTGGACTGGAGCCTCCTCCTAGCACCTGCTGCTGCAGTTGTGGACACCTTCCTGAGCAGCACTGGAGCGTGGGCCTGCCTCCGCGCACTGGGGACGGTCCCCAGCTCCTGCCGCCTGCAGATTCAGTCCTGCTCCCATCTCAGTCCCGTGCACCCGAGATGATTTCTGATCATTTGAAGAAATCTCTTTCTCATGCTGCTTCGGGCTCTCCTCTGCAACCTTACAGAGCTTGTACTCAGGGCCTGGTTCTCCCTGGCCTTTCAGAATGGGTCGCTGATCAGACCGAAGGTATAAAATACCATCCGTGGTCTAGCTAAGTGATCAGCGAGGATTTTACTACTGCTGACACAGGGTGAGGGCAGAGGAGCATCAGTCTGTACCCGCTTAGCTTGTGGTCACCGTGTCTGTATTTGGCAAGAGCCTGTTTTAGCTTTGGCATCAACACTCGTGGCAGAGGTGATCGCTGTTATTAGACCAACTACATATTTGCAAAAAAATGTAGCTCTCTGCATTTCATTTCTACTAGTGCCGGGATGCTTCACTTTTTCCAAACTGTCCTCTCACATTAGGGCAGACACAGACCTGGATTTTCTTTCCCCGGGTTAGTGCAGCCCTTTGCCCCCTCTTTGGTATAAAATGATTCCTGTGAGTTGTTTTTTTCATTGAGATGCTCTCGCATCTCCACTGCTTGCAGCAGACCTTGGGTGACTGGCAGGGGACATGCACCAGGGCTACCGAATTGTCTTGTCTTTATCTCTCAAAATACTGCTCAGATTGGGTTGAGCTACAGACATAAAATTGCCATGTCCCTTTATGCAATTAGTCCAATAAAAGGTATCGCGTCAAAGAGTCCTCCCTGGACCATGCCAGCTGCGCCGTCACTCCTTCATGGGCCTTTTCTTCTTGCTTTCCTCCCTCCCCACAGAGAGACGGGTCCAGGGTACTCACTGGTTTCAGGAAGTCGCAGCATTACCAAAGGAGTGCCTCGCTGCAGCGGGCCTGCCCCGATCACGGCATGTCCTGAGGGGGCTCACGCCCGTGCCGCCCTCCAACAGTGGGCACCGCGGAGCCAGGGAGCGACTGCGACTAGCAGGGTCAGGAGAAGGGAAGGCACCTGGACTCCCTTTCCCCAGATCCCCAGGCCCAGGGCATGGCCCCAGTGGGCAAAACACACCCCTGCCAGCGTGTGCAACCTAAGCAACGATCCCTCTATGTGTGAGTGCCAAACCTACCGCACAAGCGCCACGGGCAGCCGGGGAGAGGACAGGTAGCGCAGGTAGGGCAGGGAGCAGCGAGCAGAGCAGCAGACCGGGCATGGGAAGGGGCACAGAGTGGCACTCCAGGCAGGTGCAGGGCTAATGCCAAACAGGTTGCCCCCCACCAGCTTTAATGAGTGTCAGGGGGGAGGGGGTTGCTCACAGGCTGCGACGGAGGGTTTGTAGCAGTCAAGCGCCTGGTTTCTGTTTCTTCCTCGCCGTGACTCATCTTGCTGCTTTCCGCTTCGGTCTAGCCCTTCGTGCCTCCCTCTCTCTTGGGTGGGGCTGCTTGCACGGGCAGCCAGGAAGGGCTGGGGCCTGGAAGCGAATGAGGGCATCTATGGGGGGTGGGCTTTTTGGTGAATAATAGCCGTTTGTATTGTCCTCTCCGGCGGGGCGGAGGAGAGCCCGGCTGCCCCGTGGAGATTAGCAATGGGAGTCAGCCAAGCCTGGGAGCCCTCTCATGGCTGCTGAACTCTGCTGCGTTGAAGCTGCTTCATTTCAGCCGCGTCGTTCTGGGCTCGTGCAATGAAATACGTGCCCGCCCTGGGGCCGGTTGGGTTAAACGTGGGGTTGGCCAAAGAGCACTGAGATATCAGCAGGAGCAGCAGGGTCTGACTTGATTTTTCCACTGGAAAAAGACTCTGCCTAGCAGGTGAGAGCAATAGGAGGCATGGGAAGGAAACGGCTGCGTGTAATAGAGGCCACTGCAATAGTAGACCCTGGGTGTTGCTTTCCTCCCTGCAAATGTCGGCAGGGACTGCCCGGCTCCTGCAATGCTGCTACCACGTCACATGCCTTGTAATGAGCCTTTACGGAGTGAGCAATGGTGCGGGTGCCCGTGGGTGCGTTCGGGTGGGGCCTGAGCAATGGGCTCAAGATGGGCCCGAGTTTCATTCCCTCTGCCTGCGAGTGGCCTCCATTTCCCCCGTGGTCAGATTTTGTTCCCAACACCACTTGGGTCTTATTTCTCTTTATTTCCCCGAGGAACGTCTTGCTGGGAAGAGCTGGAAGATTCGCGGCGGCTGAGACTCCCGCGTGGCAGCCCGTCTCCTCTGTGGACCGCAAACCTTTGAGCAGCACCCTACAGGAAAACCACCGGGGACGCGGAGAAGTGGCTGCTGAACAGAGGTGGGGCGACTCAGGGGGAAATATCTCGGACCATTTTTTGCCTTTATCCTTTATAACACCAAGTTTCTCCTTCAGTAAAAGCCGGTGTGGAACTTCTTCCCTTCAGAGATGCTGGGGAAGAGGCGCCTTCCTTCGAAGCAGTACCGTGCCCCACTTTTCTCTAGCAATATTGAGGCCGCACAGCTCCCTTGGGCACCGACGGACGTTTCTCCTAGCTGCCCTTAGCAAAGGGGTCACTGCCTCCAGTGGTTCCCAGCTGGGAGGTAGCCTCGGAGAGCGCGACAGGCCCATTTGCAGGCAGAAGAGGGAGAGAAGAAAGAGCGGCTGACGGCGAAGGAGGCGGGCGGTAGCACTGCGGGGCACGGGCAGCGCTGTCCAGAACGAAGCTGGAAGAGGAGGGGAGCAGGGGAGGTGGGGCGCGGCGCGGCGCGGCGAGGGGACCGCAGCATAGTCGTGTCTGTTTAGTGTTACGATCGTTTTTCTCCGGGGTGTTCCCTCCCCCCATTTCCATGGCCCAGAGCGTCTTTACAAACACCGTGAGCACGTTTTCATCACTGATTCTTTAAAAAACTCCAAATATGTTTGCAAAACTCTAGACCCCTTGGTTCAGAGATGATCCCTTTTGTTAGACCAGCTGAGGAATGGCAAAAACAATTATCTTTTTCTGCACGCTTTCAGGCTCTCATGCCCTTCATCAGGCTCAGGGAAAGTTAAAGATGGTAAAAAGTCCCCGTATGTAGGGAATAAACATATGGGGACATTTACCATCTTTAACTTTTTGCATTTCTTTTTGTCTCAGACCAACATGGCTACCAAATACATCCCCAAACATGTTTGAGCATTTGGGAGCTGGAGCTCTGCCCGGGCCACGGCAGGTGGGATGCTCCGTGGCCCGGTGTGAGGACTCGCAGGAGAGTTCCCAGTGACCAGGTTTAACAGCAGCTGCGAGCGTTTTGCACTGCCTTGCCCAGACTCTTTGGGCAGCGCGCCGTTAAAGGCACAGTTCCCAGTACATGCTTCTTCCCAAGCCGAGCTGTAACGATGCTTAAAAACAACACTAAGGCCAAAATGCAATTACACACCCACAAACAACCCAGTAACGAAGCCAACTAGCAATGTTCAGGCCATCTCCGAGATGAACTGAGCTGTCTCTGGGGCCTGGGGCTCCTTGGAGATCAGTGCTGGAGGCAGCAAGTGCTCCTGCTCTGCCGGTGCCAGGCCCTGCCGTTGCATGGGGGTGTTGCCGCCCGAGGTCCTCCCAGGCCAAAGGGCTGACTCAGGGCTCCTTACCCGCCCTCTCTTCTGGGATTTGGAGAAGCTGGATGTGCTGCGCTCTTCCATTGTGGTGCTCCTGGGAGTGCCCTACTCGGGGAGCCTCAGGGCTTGACCCACTCACAGCCTGGCCGAGGGAGCTCCTTTCCACTATTACTAATTCTGTCTTTACCCATTCGATAGCAGCCTTCAGCTCCCTGCAGGGGGGCTGCACAGAGGATGGAGCTGGGCTGGTCTCAGTGGCAGCAGGTGACAGAAGGAGCAATGGGCTCCAGTTGCAGGAAGGGACGTTGAGGTTAGATATTAGGAAACACTCTCTCACCAGGAGAGTAGTAAAGCATTGGATCAGGCTCCCCAGAGAGGTGGTGGATTCTCCATCTTTGGAGGTTTTTAAGACCCTGCTATTGAAAGGCTTGGCTGGGATGATGTAGTTGGGGCTGGTCCTGCCTGGAGCAGGGGGACTCCCGAGGTCCCTTCCAGCCCTCAGTTTCTATGACTCTATGAATCTGACATTCGCCCAGATGCATTGCTCATACCTTGGCTTGCTCTGCTTAAAATAACATAGACCTGTTTCTTTGCAGGCTGACTATCCATTCATTTTTTGTCGCGGCATCACCCCGTGCCCCTACGAAGAGTTTATCTGAGCCAGCGACACTCGTCCCCTGTGTCCACCCCCCGTGCACTCTGCTTGTAAACACTTGCACAAGTGATGTAATCCATTACACGTCTTGCCTCTTTTCCCATCGGTTGGGCAGTGTCTTGGCTTGTGCTGGTTGCAACAACATGTGCATCTCCACTTCTGTTTTTCTTGGAGAGTGACTTTTAGCTCCACATCTCTCTCGGCCTCAGGCTTCTTTTCTTACAGTAGTCGGGATTTTCTTGCTTATCTGTAGCACCAGAGCTCTGCCGACCCGCTCTCTGCTGCATTTCTCCCATTACATGGCAAATTGGAAAAGCTTTCTGGGTCTTTGCCTAGTCTGCCTCTGACCATGTTGTTCCAGGTCCTGGACCCGATCTAGTGTCTTTTTGAGGACTCTGTTAAACCTTTCAAAATTGCAAGATTGTCTTTCCAATTTTAGATCAGACACAACCTCGTATGCGGTTTCACCTTCCTGTGATGAAAAACATCTCTCCTATGTTTCATTCTGACATGAAGCTCGGCGCCCCTTGCATCTCTGTCCGACACCTTCCTGGTCAGACGCTTCTGCCTGAGTTAACTGAGAGCCTCTGAAGGCATCGGGGACATCAGAACAGCCGTGGTCAGACGTAACGCTATCTTGTGACTGGCGGCTTTACCACCTTCAACTCTCCTATGAGACATGAACTTTCATTTCTACCCAGGAGAACTTTTACAGTCTTTTTTTCTGGTGCCTGATGAAGGGCGTTTGTGCCCAAAAGCTTGTGATAAAAGATATTTTTTTGCAAAAATGTTGTTGATCTAATAAAAGATATCACCTCTACTATGAGTCCTGTTTGCTTTTTCATCTCTGTTGGCACACACTGCTGGCAGAGGCAGAGGGAAGCACTATTTAAACCATCCCCAGCTGTCCCTTATAGAGGTTCAACTCTGATGAGGCTTGTAGGCACTCGTTCTTCCACTCGTGGTATTTTCAAGCACACTAAGACGCCTCCCAAATGCCATTGCAGCGGGTGTTCAGAGCAGGAGTGGGTGAGAGGGGCTTATTTCCTTAGCCGAGTCCCCCGCTGCCTGCCACCCTCTGCACCTGAGACTGGTGGGCACCGCAGCAGCAGAGCCGTGCAATGTGCATGCCGAATTTCGGATTGGCAGAACCCGAGAGCTGCAAGCCAAGACCAACATGCGTCCACCCGGTGGGGCACGAGGAGGCACGGCTGGGATAGCACAGGTGTTTCTGGCGGCGCTGAGGAGCCGGCAGAGCTGTGTCTTCTGGTGGGTGGCCCCTGCTTGGTTCTGCAGCTTTTCTGCCACTATTTTAGATTGAAAAGAATGAGCAAAGTATTGAAAATAATGAATATAGAGAAAGGAATGCGAAAGGATGGGGAGGACTGGGGGCGGGGAGGGAAGGAAAAGGGGCTTCCGAGAACCAGGCGTTATTTTGGGGAATGAGAGCGGAGCAGAGTTGTGAAAGGCAACAGACGGCCGCTAGCTCTCAATCCCACTGGGCTGTGGGTGCCATAAGGTCAGCCCATCTCTTGGATTTAACTGGGCAGATTCCCAGGCTGAACAGAGCCAAAAAGGTGATTTACTACTCCAGTTTCACATTAGGAGAATGGAGGCTGCTGGAAAGGCCCCAAATTGCAGCACAAGGAGTTCTGGAACATTATTTCCTAGTGAAGTCCACGGTGGTTGCACATCTTGTCGTGGGCCCGATCACACAGCCAGGCCGGGCCAGAGGAGTGTGGTCTCTCCTGCAGCGCTCCAGACGTGGCCAAGCACACCCACACTGGTGTGCTCCGTGTGCACGTCCCAGGACGTATGTGCGGTCCTCACACAGGAGGAATCTTTGTGTTGAGCATGGATACCCTTCTGCCTCAGAAACATGCTCCAGTCCAGCCACACGTTATTGGGGTCAAGGGTATCCCTGGCAGAGCAGGCAAGAGTAACTGTCCCCTGCAGGAATCACTGGCGCTCCAAGCCTTGGGCTGTGCAAGGGGTCAGGCTAGATGACCTCGACGAGGTCTTGTCTAGCCTGAAGAGCTACGCAGGCATGCGTGCACGCACCAGACACGCACCCCTGCCTGCCCGTGGCTGCCCGCGAGGGATGCTCCGGATGACAAATCGGTTGCAGGTCGGGAAAGGATACCCGCGTCCCCGTCCAGGACCAACAGGAAGAGAAGCTCCCCTGGGGAGTCGGGGAGGTTAGCAGCACTGCAGCGGGGTAGGAGTCCTGCCCTGGGACCCTGCAGAGGAAGAAGGGAGCGGGGTGATTTCAGGGGAGAAGCTGCAGGAGGGGAGGCTTGTCTCTCTCAGGCTGCAAAGGGGGCTGCCGTTTGCTGCGCGGCTCTCTGGTCCTGACACCGATCTGCAGCAGGGTGGGCAGCCCGGAGGGCACGTACTGCTCAGGTAGCCCACGCCGGCTTTGCCCTCCAGCAGGCAGGTCGCGCCTCTGGGGAGAGCCCGGTCTGTTCTGCTCTTGCTCCGAGTGCCCTGCTGCAGCCATCCTGGGAACCAAAAAGTCCAGGAGTTTGGCATCGAGGACTGTGCTGCTCCGGTCCCACGCACCGAGGGGCCCCAGGCGGGAAGGAAAACTTTCTACTTTCAATCGGCCTCTGCTCGGGAGGCTTCTTCTCCATCCAGGTAGCTAGCTGGGATCTTTGTGCAGCACAAGGCAGCCAGAACAAAGGAGAAAGACCCAGTCATTAATAACACATGGAGGAAGAACGCGCCCTTCCAGCCCAAAGGGAGGGACTCTTTGGAGAGGTTCGTTCCTCCCACGGCTGAGAGCCTGACAGGAACCAGCACCCCGCCGAGAGCAGAGGGGAGATGCTCTCCTCCGCTCCATCTCAAGCGGAGCAGCCTCTCGAGACGAGGGCTGGAGCCAGGGGCCGGCGAGGCGCAGGGAAGCACGGGCTGCAGGGTTCACCGCTGACAGTAGCCAGCAGCCGTGCATCAAGGATGTAAACCTTCTCCCGGAAACCCAGACATGGCTCCAGCCCTCCTTCCCTCCCCCGTTGTGTCCCAAGGTTTGTCCTTCCGTGTTTGTGCAGCCGTTTGTCTGTGTTAAAGCTGACCCTTCTCTGCTGCCCGCAGGGCTCCCCCGCACCCGGCATCCTGGACACGTGTGTCTGTTTGCTGTCCCCGGGCAGACCCCGCGCCCTCCCTGCACGCGGAGCCGTTCCTCCGGAGGAGCCGGAGGCAAGGCCAAGGGGCAGGAGAGGCTGGGCCAGCCCTGGCTGGCAGGGTGGTCTGGGTTGCCAGCCACTGGGCTCATCCAAAAACTGTCACGTTTGACATTTCCAAGTGTTTAATCTGAAGCTTCTCCACACGTCCTCCTCTCTCCTGTGAAATGGGTTTTCTGCTGGCTACATTGCTCATAAACTCACCGTATCATAACTAACACCCATGTATTAATGAACAAAGCACGTTCGCAAAATGAAAGGCCCAGGACAGCACTGCTTGGCTTGGGATTTTGTTTTTGCATGCACTCAAATGCTGCAAGTGCAGAAGATTGTCAGGGCCCCGGTTCCAGCTCGACCCTTTGTAGAAGCTCGGTGCGATTCTCACGGTCCTTTTCAAGGATGAAGAAAGTCAGCTTGAAATGGGCACCCTAGGTCCGTGCATCCCCCAAACCTGTCGTCTCCTGTGTGTGGGATGCACGCCCTCTATAACCCACTCACAGGCCCTGGGCAATGACCCTGCTCTCCGGGGACCCTCCCCTCAAATGCCCACCGTGCCTCTGCCTTTTTCCTTCACCTACGAATCAGAAATCAAAAGAGGCTGCGGGAAGGGGAGGGAGGAAAGCCAGGGCCCGTAAGAGAGGCACGATGCAGCCACAATCTGGCCTCAGCACGGACACCAGCCGCTGAGGCCAGAGTGCTCCGTGCGGGCTGTTGACTCACGTGTCTGTGATTGACCAAAAAGACAAGCTGAGAAAAGTTTATGATCCTTTTCATTTGGCCACGGAGCCACCACCACCACTCTGCAGAGCTCTGCCCCCGGTCGCAGAGCCAGGCTGGACGATAGGTGGGTGGCAGCAAGGCTGTGCGGAGCCGCGAGCCACGGCGGAGGTGCGCGAGAGCTGCCCCGAGCAGGTCGCTTCGCCTGAAGCTGAAGAGCCCGGGCGCTGTTCACAGGGGGTGACGCTCGCCACAAGGCCAGAGGACAGGCGAGGGAAGTGCCAGGCTCTCCAGAAGGCCGGCAAGGCAGCACCACGTGCTGGCAATCAGGACCGAGCGGCCTGGTTCACAGCAGGTTTATAACTTCTCGCTGGGCGCAGCAAACGGCAGGAGTCCAAAACCCGGGACAGCCGGGGACGGCGCAGCGCTGGGCACTGAACAGACAAAACCCTTCTCCCTCCGTCTGATGGACGGGCAGCTGGGAAGCGGGCAGCACTTCTGGCCTGATAAAAGCCACCGAGCGCACGCTGCAGTCTTGGTCTAACACGGATGCTTCAAGTTTTAAAACAAATCCAGCCCCTCTCCCCTGTGGCTTCTCAGTGAGTGGCCGGGATTTAATCACCGACACCACCAGTGCTGCTACAGCCGTCCTTGCAGGATGTGGCCTACGAGAGCATCACGGCTCTTTGTCATTTGTATTGCCGGAGGTGTATGTGCCAGCCAGGGCTGCATCTCCCATTACTGAGAAAAGCTTTAGCTTGGCAAGGCGTACGAGACAGGAGCGTTCGCTCAGGTAGGCTCCTGCTGCAGGACTGCAGAGAGGAATAATCTCTCCTTCTAGGACACGGTTCAGCTGAGAGGCCCTCAGCGCAAACCAAATAGGCTTCTTAAAAAGAGTCACATCCTGAGTCATTATTCTCACATGCTTGAGTGTCTGCCAAAGAAGAGACAGAGAGAATATTACAGCGCTGTATCCGGCGCAACGTTGTCGATTTGATCGTTCTGGTATTTTATTGCGTATTGGGTTGCTACCAGGACCTGCCCCGGGTGGCGTGTGTTTGGTGCAAGTCTGCCGGGGAAGCATGATTTCTTACAAGACTTAGAAACGATTGGGCTATTGCTATTATTTTGGACCAGTTTGCCGTTGTCACATTGCAGGCCACTGATGTAATGAAGAAACGTCATCACATCCCAAAGTAACGATGTTTCTTCGTGATGGTGTTTCACGTCCAGTGTGTTGAAGTTTCACTGAGATGACCAGATTTTTCCTGGGACAGACTCTAGATAGGGATATCCTTAACTGCAAACAGAGCCAGGGGCTTTTCTGAGTGGCTCTTATCAAACTAGGCCTATTTAATCCATGATACATGACCGGAGAATAGTTTTGTCTTTTCCTTGCCCACATCTGCTCTGTGTGATGCAAAAGGGAGGTAAACTTTGATAAACCGTCCAAGATGCTGTGTTTGCCTCTTTATTAATGAGAAACGGCAATACCAAGCTCTCATACGGCGCAGTTCGCCTCTTTTTAAAGCGTCAGATGAACCCGTCAGTCAGCATCTTTCTAGAGCGGCGGTGGAAAGATGCTGGACGTAGGATACCGGTACGAACAGGTCACTCTGGGAGAGCATCGTGTCTAGACGTGACTCCCCAGGCATGGCAGAGCAGTTGCTGGCATGCTTCCCTTCTCTTCCAGATGCTTTCCCAACGAGGAAGCGTGACAGCACAAGCCAAGGCCAGAGGACAATGACCTGGACGGGTACACAGCGCTTTCCTGCCCTTGGCTGGAGCTGATTGGGAAAGGTGGATGACAATG